CGATAATTAATGTGGTGGGTACTAATTAACTAATGACTGTATGTATATAATGAATAATATTTTTTGGGATTCAGGACAATGTGTTTGTGAACGTTGTTGCATCCATTCAGTATCGTGCCCTTGCAGACAAGGCTAGTGATGCTTTTTACAAGCTGAGCAATACAAGAAGCCAGATTCAGGCTTATGTCTTTGATGGTACAAAATTTAGTTCTTACACTCTAAATTTTATGGTTTTCATGATGTTAATGGAGATTCTTATCTGATGTGTCAATAATTTCGGGGTTCTCCTTTTTTTTTTCAGTGATAAGAGCAAGTGTTCCAAAATTGAATCTGGATGATGCCTTTGAGCAGAAAAATGACATTGCGAAGGCTGTCGAGGATGAACTCGAAAAGGTTATATATAATATCCACTTTTATAATTCATCTTAATTAATCTAATTCTTAAAAATATCAAATATTGATTTGCCTGAATATGCTTCTTTTGCAGGCTATGTCTGCCTACGGGTACGAAATTGTTCAGACACTGATCGTCGATATTGAGCCTGATGAGCATGTGAAAAGAGCTATGAATGAAATCAATGCTGGTAGAGACCATAAATATTTCTATTGCAATAAAAATTTACTGAAATTTTATCTGCCCATAAAACATTATTGCAATACAAATCTAGCTTCTCCCAACCAGATATATATATATTTTTTTTCAACAAAAAAACCATTTTTCTTGCTGAGTAATTCTGTGCTCAATTCCTTTTTTTTCCCCTTTCGTTTATTGATTTTCATTGTTACAGCCGCTAGACTGAGGGTGGCCGCCAATGAGAAAGCCGAAGCTGAAAAAATATTGCAGATAAAGAGAGCTGAAGGTGAAGCTGAGGCTAAGTACCTCTCGGGCTTGGGCATAGCCCGCCAGCGCCAGGCCATTGTGGACGGGCTTAGAGACAGCGTTTTAGGCTTTTCCGTAAATGTCCCTGGGACCACTGCAAAGGATGTAATGGATATGGTCCTAGTCACCCAATATTTTGATACAATGAAGGAGATTGGGTCGAGTTCCAAGTCATCGGCTGTTTTCATACCTCATGGGCCTGGTGCTGTTCGTGATGTGGCGGCCCAGATACGTGATGGGCTCTTGCAGGGTTCTCAAGTTGTGCCTTGATGTTTATATGGGTTTGTGAATAATTGCTTATCTGTTCTGTTGTGAATTTCGTTCTTTTTGGTTTCGTATGTGTTGATATAGTTTGAAGTGGGTTTAAGATTTGGTATGTTTTGGACCTTTGGGTACACTTGCTTTTGTGAATCTCGTTTGTAAGTCGATTATGGTGTGATTATATGAATGTTGTGTCAGGCTTCTGAGCTGATTTCAGTTTTTATCTATTTGTTTACTTTTCATGGGCATGCAGGAAAGATATTTCGACTAAACTTGACTTGTGATAGCCGTAAAAGTTTTTGTTTGTTAACCGATTTTTCTTGTAGAAAAATTGTTACGAACGTAGGATTGTAGTGTTTTACTGCAAGTTACTGATCAGGTGAAAGGAAAAAATCTTAAAAAATTGACCTTTGTGCCTTTACAATTAGCCTTTCTACTTTGCAATAAATAAAAGGCATAGGCCTGAGGCAAAACTGACATCTTTAATAGCAGGCGATTGTTTCTACCAAAAACAAAATGGATATAAGCTCTCTGCTGCTAATAGAACAAAAAAATGGCAAAAAAAAAGAAAAAATAGTTGAATTTGTGTTTTCCATTCTCACTGTTTTTGTATAAGAGGTCCTTTAGGTAGGCGATTCACGATTTTGCCGCATTCTTCTGATTTTTAGGATGATTATTCTTTGTCTTCTTCGTCTCCTTGTTTGAATTCTCACCCTTCTCGTTTTTGCCATCCGTAATTTTGTCACTTTTCGGCACCTTTTTGCCCTTTTTCGTGTGCTTATCTTTCTCCTTCTCGTTGTGCTTCTTCTCATCTTTTGCTTTGGCTGGATTGTCATTTTTCTCTGTCTTTAAGATATCTGTTGTTTTGCATGAACCTGAAAAAATTATATTCAAATATTTGCCGTTATTGATGAACAGACAATATGGTATATTATCGAAACTCAAAGAATATATGATCATGAGAAGAAAAAACAGAATGTAACTTTTGCAGTAAAGCAAGTAATTTAGGCACCTGGAAGTTACTTGCAAATTGCAATTTTATGGGCCTTGAAGGATTTTTCAAGCAGATGATGAATTATTGTGAATTTAAGATGCAATTGCATGTTACTGATTACTTATAATTTAACCTAAATGGGAAAAGTGAACACCATGAAACAAGAAAGTGATGGCCTCGTAGAAATTGCGTCCTACTTTTGTGCATTCTCAAGAAAATATTTTGGCAATTTATTTTTTAACCATTGTCTATTATCCCTTCAAATTTTGGTATCTGGTGCCTTTGTTTATTTGTAGCCATAGATTAGAATAGTAGTACTATTCTAATGATTTGCTGTTTATTGAGTTATGCTACATGAATATGCACATAATATGTATCATTTATATAAAAATATATGTCAAAAGCGAGCATGCAAGTAGTATTTTTCTTCTTCTTCTTCTTCTTCTTCTTCTTCTTCTTTTTTTTTTTTTTTTTTTTTTTTTTTGGTTAAATATGAAATTGGGTTGGGCTTTTTCGTAAAGAATTTGTGATGATGGTTATATTTTTCCNGTATTTTCTTATTAATCTGCCTAGTGATGGGTGTTTAAAGACTTATACGCATTATACCAAAAGTTAGCTAATGACAAATTGTTGTATTTCTCAAAATTAGATTGAACTGGCCGGTGGAAAATTGGTCATCCAACCGGTTTAGTCGACTTACTTTAATGGGTGAGCCATGACTGACATATATAATTCTACATAAAGTTGAAAAAAAATTTTTGCCTGCAATTTGACTAATGAACTGAAGCTCTGAGTTTCATAATATGATTTGCCGAATAGGGGTATTATAACTCGAATAGCTCATGTCTAAGCTTGTGCTAATTTATAAATGAGTCAAAAACTTGGCTCTAGATAAGTTGGTGAAGTTCAGCTTGACTCATTAAAAAATATAGAGCCTTAAACGAATCATTCGCGTGAACAAGTTTGGCTCGACCGATTCATTTAAAACCGAAATAAAAGAATGAGCTGTCGCAAACATGCTTAGTTCGGCTTGTTTAATAAACGAGCTCGATTAATTATTTGCAGTGTTCTAAAAATCGGGCTAGGCGCCCGCCCGTTTAAGCGCTAGATGGTATCTTGGCGCCCTTCGTCTAGACAATCCATTTAGGCGCTCGAAAAATTAAGCGCCGAGGTCCAGGCGATTGCAGATTCAGTCACACCTAAATTGATTAGGCGGTCTAGGTTGCGCCTAGGCGCCCATATAATTTTCTTTATATATATTTTAATTTATTTTAAAACTATAAAAAAAATCAATAAATGTACAATTATTATAAAACCAAGATAATAACCATATAAAATTTATAATTTTATTAACCATAATAAATAGTATACTTTATAACATGTGTTTTGTAAGTTAATGCATAATTATAAATATAAGTAAATTTATTATTATTTTTACAACCTCTTATAGTGCTACGTCTAATTCTCGTCTATGCAATAGCCCCAACTTTCTTCCTAATGAACATCTAGTGACTTTTAGAACAACCCACAATGTTTTGAGTATCTTACAAAAATATCATATGTCATATAAGAAATAGACTTAATTTATTAAAAAATATTTTCCAATGCAATTAAAAGTGGACTAGGTCTAACTTATGTGACAATCAAAAAATGAGACAAAGTCCACACTTGGGTCTATTTTGGACCCAAATACAAACCTGAGCAGTTAGCATTTATTTCTAATTTAATTTTTCTCTTCATATAGAAAATATATTAAAACATTTTTATTGATTGACACATATTATAGACCTAATATTTTATTTTTGCATTAAATAATTTTAGATTTTTTTTTACTTGGGTTTGTCCATATCATTCAGAATTAAGTCCATTTATATGTCACATATGTAAAATTAAACTCAATGCATTGTAGATGCTCTTATAACTTTAATAATTCAAGAGTGGAGATCGAGCTTTTACGCACGTACCGGTTTTTGTTGGCTAACAGTTGGATTCGTAACCATGATAACAAACTAAAGGCAAGTATTGTAAATGATATAATTAGTAAAGGTGTTAGAAATCAAATTATCAAAGATGCATATGAGAATATATTATTTTTATTTAGAATGGAGTGCACATAAAAAAACAGCTGCGATTCAAGACTTGAAGGCTAAAAGCATCAAAACCTTACCCCACTTACAAAAAAGCAAGAATCTTGTCCCTCCAAAGATAAAATTGGCAATTGGTTAATATATAATATAGATATATAAGAATATCCATGAAGTGGACCATATGCTAAGTCGCAGGTCAAAAATGGCACATGAGCCTGATAGAAATTTCTTATTTTAGATTCAACATTTTATCACAATCTAAAGATGATAGTAACCTGAAGAAAATTAACTTGTTAAATTCAACATTTATTCTTCAAAATCATGACCATTGCTACACCAAACACATTAGTGGAATAAAAGGCAAAAAAATGGTAAATTGATATTTTTTTTAATTAAATTCTCTTCTGATACAGAAATGCAATTTGATATGTTTATCCGATTTGATGTTACTTTATTTTTTCACAATAATATTTATAATAAAATAATAGTAGGATTTAGCTGGTTATGGTTATCCTTGGGGCTGTGTGCCATAAAGTGTCACTAGATTTTGACTATGAAGGTGCCAAAATGCACCTTTAACACAACCTTAATTTGCAATACAGGTAAGATGAAATAAGAAAAACATGATCACATATCTCAATGTATTACATAAATGAACAACAAAATGTCTATACTTTCCACGACAAAATTACAATCCATTTTCAAATCTGACCACCATTTTTTTCTTCCACCCCTCGTGACCTCAATCCCCCTTTACTTTATCAATAATTTGGTCAATGAACTCAATTGCCCAAAACAAAAACAACACAACCACAAACCAAAAAAAGCCCCAATTTCTCCACTTTTTCACTTGCTCCAAGGTTTATTATAATCACAATTCACACCCTTTTTTCCTCAAAACAGGGCCCAACAAAATGCTTAAAATTGAATCCCCTAAAAACCCTTCCCCACAAATATAATCCCACGTTTTAAGGTGTNAATAAATATGATTTTTCCCATACTAAAAAATGCAAAACAAAAAAAAACTACACTAAACCTACTAAAGTAACCTATCAGACAAGCCCGGAAGCCTCCTGAAAAAACTCAAGCTCGCCGGCGGCATGGGGTCCCGGAACATCGGGTGCCGGAGAAAGTAAAAACCGAGCGCCACGGCCACCATCTTAGGCGGCACCGCGTACAAAACTATCGTGATCACAAGACAAATCCCTATGAACAACTTCGTCGCCCGTGGGTCCCGCCAGCTCACGAGGGCTTGTATCCTCTCCCCTTGCGTCGCGATATCTCCCAACACCGTTTGAACCCTAGCTGCCAAAATCCTCAATCGATCATACCTAACCCTAACGACCTCCGGCGGCCTCGAGCTCGGAAAAGTGTCGAACTCCTCATCCAACTCGTCCGGGTCGACCGAGTCTGCCTGAGACAGCTTCACGTCGACACCCGCTGGTACTTTCGGCTTGAAACGATAGTACCACACGCCTATCAAGAACACGTATAGAAACCCAGTCGGCACGATTAAGTCCGGGTACCAAACGAGGACCAAATATAGAATGTGGAACAATATAGTCGTGATCGGGTTCCTCCACCTCCGAATACGGTCCAACCACTTGGCGAGCCCCACGGCCCAAGCTAGCACGGCCACAATCCGGTACCAATTCGCCTTGCTCTTCCTCAAGCTCCAATTGTGCGAATCAGAGTCCAACATGTATTGGACGACCTCCGATCCCAGTGGCGGCTCAGATCTCGCCAGCCAAGCCGCCACAATTCGGGCGGCTGCCCCGCGAAGGGCCTCCTGCTGGGATACCCCAAGGGGGCGGAGGTAGTGCATACGTGGCAACAACGGCTGCCCGTACACACCACACGTGTCGGGCAGTAACGACGGGCAGGCGAACCGGATTGCCAGCTCGATTTCGCCCATTTTCTTGAGCCCACCGCGAAACAACACCATCAACGGGTACGAACTCATGTAGACCTTGTTCGTGTCTAAAGTCGAGATGCGTATCCGGACTTTTCCGATTCGCGCGTCGGGCCTTTCCTTGTCGGATTCGGCGAACATGCACCAGTTGTCAAACACGCCCACGGTGAGAACCGTGCACGGGTCGTACACTTGCCACGTGTACTGCTCGTTCCACCTCGGATCAAAGCTGTCCATCACGGTTCGGGTCCGAACCCACTTTTTCCCATACTTGGCGACGCAATAGGCATCCGTGGACCCTTTTCCCGGGCCCTTGGATTTCATCGGAAGCAAGCCTCGGGCTCCGAGAATCCCGAGCTCTAAAATCCCGACTGGAGGTTTCCAAAGTTGTTTGGCCGTGGGTCGGAAATCGCTACAGAGGTGGGCTGCCTCGTCGAGCACGTGGTAACCGCCCTCCAAACAGATCCTCAAATGGAGACGGCCACAGTAGGACCCGTTTGGGCCAGGCCCGCCTTCAAGCCCGTACCATTTGGCTGCCACGTGACGCTCGTCGAGGCGCTGCTCGATGGAGCCCACGGGGATTATGGCGTGGCCGAGTAGCACCGGATCTTTCCCCGTGCGGTCCTCGACCAGCAGGATTAAGTTGTCCTCCAGAGGCTCGCCGGCGACGAAAATCAAATCCTCATTCCAGTGGAAGGCGGAGGTTTGGTGGCTCATGGACCCACGCCGGGTCCGAGCCGATTGGAACCCGAGTTGACCCTTGACCCGGATTTCTGGGGCGGTCAGTGGCGGCAGGTTGGGGATTATGTGAAGATCCTGGGCTTCGATGACGGTGAGCCTGAGGTACCAGAGTTTAGGCGCCTGGTACACCTTGGGGCGCGTGAAGACCACAAATGGCTGGGGGGCGTCGGAGCTCCACGACTCGGGGAACGCGTCGTCGGCCTGCGTGCCGATCCAGACAGACAGCTGGATGTCGCCGGAGACTCCGCTGGTGTCGTCGCCGGAGGTGGGGGCGGCGCCGCTCTCGAGGTGGTACCACTGTGGGGCGAGGGGGCTGTCGGGCGGGTCTCGGACTGGGACGTCGGACAGGTCGAAGCAGACGCCGCCGAGAAATTTCTCAGACGGGCCGCCGTCCCAGACGGAGATCTCGAGGGTGGAGCTGGCGGAGGTTTCCTTGTTGTGGCCGATGGCGAACACCTGGTTCCACTCGGGGTTCGCCGACGGGTCGCCACCCGGCGGGGCAGCCGCGGGCTTCGATTTGGCGAAGTGGCCGGAGGTGCGGATCTTCACGTGCGGGCTCTCTTTCGGGCCGAGCCCACGGGCCTTGACGATCCTCACGAAGAGGTACTGCATCGGCTCCACCAGATCGAAGGCCTGGATCCTCTCCGACGCGTCCCCGGACAATTTCCCGGCGATTACCCTCGGCGAGTAGTCCCCGTTCGGCGGTGGCCTCCGGGCGACCCTCACCCTCTCCCCCGGCCCCATCGGCGGCCCGTTCAACCCATTCCCCATCTGCATTCTCCTCACATCTGGAGAAAACATATGCGGCGGCCGCATGTTCTCCTGCGGCTGGGGGCCGTTCTCTGGCGGCGGCGGCGGCTCGTGAGCCCTGACAAACGGCGGCGAGTGCTCCCGGGGCTCCATGGCTACATGGGCCGGCATCGGCATCGTCATCGATGGCGGAGGCTCCTCCATAACCACCAGCACCGGCCGCTTCATCACCTCCTCCGGACCCGACGGCTTCTCCGGCTCCTGCTCCTGCGCCGGCGGACCAGGCGGCTGCTCCTCCTGCTGTTGCTGCGGCGGCTCCTCGAAAACCTCCTCATAATAATAAATCTTCAACCCCAATTCGCCCCTAATCCAGCTGAACACGCTCTTCTTCTCCAGCGTGAAATACACCAAACCCTCTTCCCCTCGCCGAGCAAACTGCGACCCGTACAGCTTTACCCTTCCCAGAAAATGGTTCTTCCTCGCGTTTCCATTGCTGAGCTTCTTGTCGTTGAAAACCTCGATGTTGAGCTCCTCGAACTCCATGGTGTTGGGGTCGGTGACGACGAACTCCAGGGCCTCGTTCCATACCGGGTTCAGGTTCCTCTGCACGGTGGACGTCCGCCGCTTCTGGCCGTCGAAATCTGCCACCACGTACGGGCTCGAGCTGCCCTGCCCGTCCTTGGGGAGAAGGTCCCGGGCCTCGATTACCTCGACTATTAGTTTGCGGACGGCGGTGGAAGGCGTCGGTGGCTGCGGCTGGGGCTGTTCGGACAGCGGCGGAGGGTTGTCGGAGGAGGTTGTCATGGTTTCATAATCACTTTTCCGAGATGGGTTTTTTATGGGCAACGAATTTTTGTGCGAGTTTTCTTTGTATTTGCTAATTTTTGCTATGAACTTTTTTTTTGCAGAGAGCTGTGTTTGCTGTTTTTGTTGGTGGAGGCCTTTTTCAACTGTGATTATGGTGAAATGTTGTTAACGGGGAGAATGTTGGTACATTTCACATTTGCTCGTGCAGTGTGTGAGTGTGTGAGAGAGAGAGATTAGATTCCATTCTCTCTCATGAAGTTTTCTAGCTTTTTTTCTGATTTTTTTTTTCTTTTGGGTATTTTGTCCGTCTAAAACTTTTTGGTTTATTGTGGTTGTCATTGCAACTTCTTGTTTACACTTGCACTGTTTATTTTATTAATTTAAGTAACATATATACATTTATCAAATTTCTAATAATTGTCATTTATTTGATTATTTGATTCGTGTGGTGGTCTTACCATTAGGTAGGTCGGCTTGTTACACTTTCATAACAAAATATAAACTTATAATATGAAGTACTATATTTTTGTCTCTGTATTTTAAAATTCAGTTTGAATGTATGCATACATGTTTACAAAGATATGGTTCTTTAACAATTAATTTTTTGACAGTAGCCTTACTATATTTTATCAGTGATCGGCGGGTGTTTTGCTCACTGTTCTAAAAATCGGCCTAGGCGGCGGCCTAGGCGCTAGACGGTGCCCGGGCACCTCCGATTTGTACAAATCGGCAGAAAAAATCGGTCAGGCGGCTAGGCGGCCTTGGCGGGCTCGGCGGCCAGGCGGTTAGGCGGCGTCTAGGCAGGCGTAGGCGGACTTAAGCGCTCCTAAGCGGGCTCGGCGGCAATTTTTCAATTTTTTTTTAATTTTTTTAAATACTAATTACATTATTTTATTCTCATGTTTTCTTTAATATATATTAATATTATTATTTGGACTTTGGCGAGTGAATTTATTATATGTTGAGATAATCTTATTTTGTAGGTAGTTAAAATAAATAAAAAATAAGGTATTTAGACTAGGCGCCGCCTAGGCCCCGACTAGGCGCTCTAGGCGCTAGGCACTGGTCGAGCGCCTAGCGACTTTTAGAATACTGGTTTTGCTAGGCGCCGGTGATATATTTTTTTTTTTTCACAAATATGTGTACTTTCATTATAAAAAATCATACTCTAAAAAATAACAAAATATAAATATGACATTTGGTAGCATAAATATGCATTTTTCTACATATAGTATTATAAATCCACCCTCATTAGATGTCTCACACAAGAATTTGTGATATTTATATGTATACTTGGACCAATGTGACAATAGTTGGTTTGTTTGCTTCAACTAAGTAGTAAAAAATTAAAAAAATGTGTTGTCTTGTCTATGGGGAAAGGCTGCAAACAAAGATCTTTGATTTTGTCTGAAGTTATGCTCGCAATAGTCTGCTTTATTGGACTAGAAAAATCCATTTCGGATCTGTAATCTGTTGTGAGTTGTGTTTGATTTCATTTCAATTTTTTGAACGATCAAAGGATTTAGTTTGATTTCATTTCATTTTTTTGAAAGATCAAAGGATTTAGAGTTATAATATTTGATTCTGGGGCATAGGCGCTAGTATATGTTCTCTGACTAACTTTATTCTTTGATTAACAACCCTGCAAACTATGAAGCTAAATGCACTCTATATGGCACATGGATGTGGTGTAGCAGCAAAAGTCACCTTATAATATTACTTTAAGCACTTGTATTTGTTAAATTGGTAGAATCTCGAGGGCCATAAGCCTATGAAGTATTTGAACCCCATTTATTTCTCAAGTGGCAGTAGCCCGAAGCATGTAGCTCGGGTACAAAGGAGGTTAAGTTTTTTGTTGGAAGATAGGAACACCAAGCAAGTAGCTCGCCTGAGTAATTAAGTTGTTAAAGAGGAATAGGCTTGGAGAGTATAGCTCGAATTCCAAAGCAAATAATGAATTAAGAGCTCAATTGTGTTTGAAGAAACATTCATATATTGTTAAAAGAAAGAACAAGAAAAAATATAGGTAAACAAAGTAAGCAGACACAATTGGTCGATAAAAATGAAAGTACTTATATTAAATATTGGAAAGTTACAAAGTGCCTAAGTCCAAGCAGGTCTATTACATAAGCAAATATAAGAAGAAATTTGAGCCTGACTTGGATTTAGTCGACGAAATAGGGATAGTAGCCCGAGGGGGGCTGGTCGAAGGGTTCACTGACCTCGGGAACTCGAAAGTCCCAAGATCGAGGGAGTTCACAGTCGTGAAATAGAGGAATTATGTAGTCATTAGAGTAGGAGGTCAAGAGATTGGGTTTGACAAGTTTCACCAGGCCAGATACGACTTTGGCTTTTTTGCCTTTGACCACAGTTATTTGGTCTTGTTGTTTGTGGGTAAGAGCAAGGGCTAAGGTGGGAGTCATGTGGTAGTTGTCGACTATAGAGTCGAGCTGGGCTAAGGGGGTGCCGGTAAAAGGTTCATCTAAGGGCTAAAAAGAAGAGGTCGAAGAGATGGTTTGGTCAGAGTTTGACACGATGGCTAAAATTTCACAAGACAGATAAAAAGAAGTGCAGACGATCGTCGAATATCCATAATAAATTGAAAATGAAGAATATGAAAATATGACAAAGATTCTAAGAAAAGTCACTACCCATAAGCAACAATAGAATAGGTGGAAGAAAAGTGGTTGGAAATTGAAGAAGGTCAAAATGAAAATGGTTGTGTTGTGTTGTTTCAATAGTGAAAAGGGGGAGCGCATTAGTCGAGGTCACTCGTGAACCATCAGATCAGACATTGTCCTATCGGTCTGGATTGACCAAAAGGGATGGATTTGACATATGTGAAAGGTCGACGTTTTGTGGGCGTTGATCTGGCAGAAGATCAACGATGCAGAGTGATAGGCGCGAGTTAGGGTTTGAAACGATGTCTCCGTCAGGGGCGACAAGTCCTAGTAACTTGATCAAGTATGGCGAGGTTAGATGATATAACACCCAAAATAGCTTGGTGGACTGGCCTGAGTGGCCATCTCGGGTATGGTCTGTCCGGGGAAGATTATGCTTGGTATCAGCAGTTGACCTCGTCAAGGAGCTCGCTTAGGCAGCTCAGGGCACAAGTCGACCTGATAAGAAGATTTGAAGATCGAGCACCTCCATGAGTTCGGATAGATGAGGGGACCTCAGGACCCGAAGGTCGTGAGAGTAAAGGTCGTGGTCACGACCCCGTGGCAAGTATGTTGCGAGGCCGTTCGGGCGACCTAAGGACCTAAGTGTGATATGGTAAGAGAGGACATAATCCTTTAAGGATAGAAATTATATCTTGCTAAGGATTCTGAGATCTTAGAGACTTAATAAGACAAGAAAGAAGATACAATTGGATCTCTTTCCTAGCCAGGACTCTACTTGGGAAGTAAGACACCCACGTACAAAAGAGTGATCAGGTTTTACTTTGACACAAGGCATATATTTTACACATATAGCATAAAGTTTATCCATTATTCTCACGAGTGAGTACTTACTTGAGCGTTGAAGGCTTTTCTGTCAAGACCCCTCCTCGGCATATTGTAGGTCACCAGAGCAAGAGACAGAAGACCATTCATGGTGGTCACGGTTCAAGGAAAATTTGCACATTAATCATCTCCATATAATAAGGACTATAAAATATAATAACTGATATTTTTATTTCACAAATCCAACATTCATATTTTAATATTATTTACAGCGCGATTCATTTAATTTATATTAAATACCTTTTTTTGTTTAATTTCTTTATACATGCGTCTAGATAGATGACTCATGTTAAACACATATTCATTTAATAAAAGAGCTAGCGTAATTCATCTCGTTTAATAAACAAACAAAAATGTGGGCTCGAGTTCGAATTATTTAATAAACCTTAAAACTTAGAACAAAACTCGAAATACTGATTGAGTTGATTGCTAACACATTCAACTTGGCTTGTTTGATAGAAACGTTCGATTAATTGTTTCTGTTTGACTCGTTTAAATAGTCAATTGAGTCATTGAGTCGACCTTGAGCTTTCACTAGTTGAACTGAACTACGTTACCGGTCAACTCGGTTAAAATAATAGGTGCACGTTTTGTAGCTCGGGTGTAATTATTTTTTGGCTATGTCCCTCCTAAAGGATGATTGCTTTTCTTCATATGAATGCTGTCAAGGATTCATTTTTTTCACTCAAGTTTGCGTAGATCAAGATCTATGATACAACTAGTAGAATGTAAAATGTATTTTTAACTAATTCTTGATGTTAATAGTCATTTTTCTAGTTGCTTTCATGAGTGTATGAAGTTTATCTTCTTCAAAACTAAATAATAAATTATGTAGCATAATTTGCATTAATCTATCTCCTCGGAAACAGAGCATATGTTCTTCACAAAAAAAAAAAACAGTTTATGCCCAATATCATACATACAATCAAAAGTGCGCCTTATCTAATTTTCTTCGAGTGGAAATTGATTAAAATTACAAAATCAGACCCTTTTAAACATTTAGCAATAAGATGCTGCCAAAAGAACATGATGCCAAAAAAGTTTTTAGCACTTCCTTTAAAAGTTGCTCAAAAGCATCTTCTTTTATTCTTCTTATTCTTCGAATTTATTGCAAAAAATGCAGCTTTGTTTCAAGATTTTTCCATGTTTTTGTATAGCAATCGGTTTTAATTGCTGCCTCGACCGATTTATAAAGTAAATACACTCATTTTCGGGCATTACTTGATGAAATGAAACAGTAGAGATATCATAATCTACTTTGTTCTCAATATTCTTTGATTCTTTTGAGGCTTCAAGCTTACATTCTTAGTTTCATTTCATAGTTCGAACACTAAGGACACAATAACAAGAAGCTTCTTCCTAATTTACAAGGCAGAAATCTAAAGGCTTTTAATTGATTTAGATTTCTTTCAACTTTTCTCACACCTTTTGTGTAATGGTGGACTTTTTTCCTTTTTTTTCTCTGGAATCGGATCCTTGCAAGATAAAAAGTCTTTTGTAATGATGTTTTTTTTTTTTTCTTTTTTTCTCTTATTTGCTACTACCATTTTTGTTATGTTTGAATACTTCATAATTTTTTCGCCTTTTAGTTGGCATAATTTCAATGCTAATTACTACCTGCATAAAGTGCACGGCTAATTAGCTTTACTTGTGAGATTTAATCGTGTTCCCCAACTTCTCTTTACGAGCTTTTGCCAAGAGAAAACACAAATTAACCTTATTCTTTGCTTGGTAATTATTATGATGGAAAATCACATAAGAGCATCCGCATCGCATTCATTTTATTTCCCGTTTAAACGCCCCCAACGTTCATCCAGATGTAGCTCATTCATTAAAAGAGGACCTCACTTATCCGTTCAATGGATTGAACGCCCCAGCGTTGCTTTTTTT